TCTCTTAACCAAGCAGGCATGTAGCTAAGAAATAAATAAGCAAAATGTAATCCGAGCATATAGAATGGATGGTAGATTATCCAGCAACAGCTTGCTCTTACCAGAGTCTCATCATTTATGTATTTCTAATTATCTCAGTTCCTAGTTTCCTTTTTTAAAAAAAATTTTATTGGTTATTTTTTGTGTATGATTATATTTACTGCATGTATATAAGTGCACCCGTGTCATGCAATGCCTGTGGAGGTCAGAAGATTCTGTCAGATCCCCTGGAACTGGAGTTACGAACGAACGGTCATTAGCTACCGTGTGGATACTAGGAATCAAGCCCAGGTCCTCTGCAAGAGCAGCGTTCTTTTTTTTCTTTTTGTCTTTTTGAGACAGGGTCTCCTTGTAGCCCCAGCTGTCCTGGAACCACTATGTGGACCGGGCTGGCCTTGAACTCACAGAGATCTGCCTGCCTCTGCCTCCCAAGTGCTGGGACTAAAGGTGTGCGCCACCACGCCCGGCTCAAGAGCAGTGTTCTTAACCATACTAAGCCATCTCTCCAGCCCCCCTAGTTTCCTTTCTAACATGTCTGAGAAGTTACAGTATTAAGGGTGTGGAGAAAAGAAAATATTTCTTAGGTGCCAAGTTTAGTCTTTCAAAGTTGCTCCTCTGTCTTCTGAAGACAGTTAAAGGGCAAGTAGAATAGAGTTGTCCAGATGTGGACGTCTAAAATAGATCATGTATTAAAACTGTAGCATGTAGTTTTGTGTGAGTCTCATTAAATATCTGCCTTGTTATCCTTATTTTGCTGGTTTTTTTTCCTTCCCATGTAGGCCAGTTATGCCTGTTACATTAAATATGAATATGGCTATGCCTTCTTGGTAAGTAATTTGCTTAATTAATTTAGAACTTTTTAGTCTTATCAGAAGGGCTTTTGTGTATATCAGTTTTTTATTTAGATATTTCTAAATTGCAAGGTAACTCAGTTAAAGTTAACGATTTAACCTTTTATGCTTTACATTGTGAGTTAAACTTAAGAAGCTATACAAGTAGAGAAACAGGAGCGGGTTGGGTGTATTATGGGGCTGTCTTTTGCTAAGTCTTTGTTGAGTCCAGTAACCAAACCTTTTGAGCGATCCATGTGGCATCCACTGTGATTCCACTCTGATTAAGTCACAGCCTCACCATTCTGCCAAGTTCCTGCCTTGCTGGATATTAAGGAAAGCACTTCCCTTTCAGCCTTTCAAGATGCCTCACATTCCTTGTGCCCTTCACAGTCAGGAAGTGGGATCACTGAGAGTTCTCTGTGTGTGACTAGATGTCTTTGCACTGCTGAGACCTCTGCCATCAATTCTTTCAAGAAGTGATGACTTCAGCATCCACTTGACATTGTCACTTCAGTCTGTGTGTGTGTGTGTGTGTGTGTGTGACAGCATGAAGGTGCTGGGAATTGCACCCACTGCCTTGCATATACTAGGCAAGTAAGTGTTGTACCACTGAGCTAGACTCCTAACTCTAGCAACTTACCTTGTCTTAGTGATTTCCCGTCATTTCAGAATAACCTCAAGCAGCCAGCTTACTTCCCTCTGTTTTATCTTTTTTCACTGACATTATATATTGGGTGTGTGGGTATGCATGTGCTCTGGTGTGCTTGTGAATAATAGAGGAAAACTTGTGGGGCTGGGTTCTGGTTCCTTTCCACTGTGTAGATTCTGGGATCTAACTGTGTCATTTGGCTTGCTAGGAGGTGCCTTTACCTGCTGGGCTATCTTACTGGCCCCTGCTTCATCTTGTATTACTAATCCCACAGTCAATAGAGTCTGTATCAGCATTGAACAGGTCAGAGCCCAGAAAGGCCACCCTTAGACAATTCCAGTGGCCGTTAGCAAAATACTTTAATATATATTCAGTGATTGTGTCTGACAGATAGAAGGGAATTTATCAACTGGTTTGCAACAATATCATGCTTTTTAATTCAAATTGGCTCAGTCTAGGAGCCTTTGAGTTGTATGTGCTGTTTTTTTACATTTTTATTAAAACAGAAAGGCCATCCTCAAACAGTTCCAGTGACCTTTAGCAGAATATTTTACTCTTTGGTGATTGAGTCTGACAGGTAGAAAAGAGTTTATCAGCTGGTTTGCAATAGTATTACGCTTTTTAATTCAAACTGACTCAGTCTAGGAGCCTTTGAGATGAATGTGCTATTTTTTTTTTCAATTTTTGTTAAAAATTGTGGTAGGATGTGATATAGTCTAGTGCTTTACATTTTAAATGTAAAAACTGCATAAATTTTTACATGTACACCATACCATGTAATCATCAGTGTGATGTAGGGATAGAATAGTTGTTTCCTACAGGGTGCTGATAGGTGTTTGTGCTGGTTCTGGTTTTTAGCTGTTATGGACAGTGCCATTCTGACCATTCCTGTGCATGTATTTGTTGGCCCATTTTCACTTTTCTTGACTATATATCCGGGATTGGGATTGCTGGATCATTTGGTAATTGTTTAATTGGGGTGGGGGGAACCTACCAACTTTTCCACAGTGCCTGACCATTTCACATTCCCACCAGCAGTGTACATCCTTACTGACTAAATTTTAAGGTTTTTTAAGCATTTGCTAGGCATGTGTACCACACATGCCTGCAAACCCAGTGCATGGAAGGCCGAGGCAGGAAGATTGCCATGGGTTTCAGGCCAGTTTAAACTACATAGTGGAATACTAAGCCAACTGGTTACAGAATGAGACTGTCTCCAAAAACAAAAAAACGGGCTGGGTGTGGTGGTGCACGCCTTTAATTCCAGGACTCAGGAGGCAGAGGCAGACAGATCTCTGAGTTCAAGGCCAGCCTGATCTACATAGTGAGTTCTAGGCCAGCTGTGGCTAAGGGAGCTCCTGTCTCAAAAAGACTTAAAAATTAAAATAAAACAAAGAACAGGGTTGAAGAGATGGTCCATGATTAATAGCACTGGCTGCTTTTGCAGAGGACCCACCTGGTGATTAACAACTGTCTGTAACTCCAGTTCCAGGGGCTCTGGAAGCCTGTTCTGACCTCCGTGGGCATTACATGACACTGGTGCACTTAGATACATGCAGGTAATACACTCCTACACATAAATTAAAATTAAAGTAATAAAATATTTTAAAACAAAACAAAAAAGAACAACAAAAATTTTACAGCCACCCTAGTGGGTATGAAGTGGAATCTCACTTTGTACATCTGTGTTTGTGTGTGTTCTGAGACAGGATCTTCACTGTGCAGCCAAGACTAGCCTTGAGCTTCAGCTGCTTCTGCCTCAGGTCCTAATGGCTGGGGTGATAGGCGTGTGCCACTGTATCCAGTCCTGATTGTGGTTTGGATTTGCTTTTCTTTAATGGCTAATGACTTTGAATATCCATTTCTGTGCTTGTTGATCATGTGTATATTTTCTTTGCAGAATGTCTCATCAGGTCCTTTCCCTATTTGTAAAGTGGGTGACCATTTTGCTAGTTATAAGCATTCTGTATGGATAGATGCCATTTAGATACATGACTTGCACACGTTTTTCAGTGAGGCACAACATTTTTTTAATTTTGGTGGTTTCCAGTTTTTTTTTTTTTCATTGTCATATCTAGCATGTGTCATTGCTAAGTCCAAAGTCACAAAGATTTATTTTATATGTCTTACTTCATGAGTGCTATAGTTTTATTTGCTACATTTAATAATTTGGCCTATTTTGGGGGGGGGAGGTTGTGTGTGTGTGTGTGTGTGTATGTGTGTGTGTGTTTTGAGACAGGGTCTCCCTGAACCCACAACTGGCCTGGATTGGATTCACTATGGAGACCAACTCATAGAGATCCGCCTGCCTCTGCCTCCCAAGTGCTGGGATTAAAGGCATACACCACCACGCCCAGCTTGAGTTAGTTTTTATAACAGTCTAGTTTCATTCCCTTGTATGAGGATATCCTCTTATCCCAGCTACATTTGTTAAAAGACAATTCTTTCTCCACTGATTTATTCTGGTGCTCTTTAGTTTAACAATTGAAGAGATTTATTTCTGGATTCTCAGTTGATTTATAGGTCTATCCTTCCCCATTAAAATCTTTCTTCTTTTTTTTTTTTTTTTTTTTTTTTTTTTTTTTTTTAAAAAAAAAAAAAAAAAAAAAAAAAAAAGAGGACGATAAATCTTTCACTGTGATATATCAAAATAA